GAGTTTTAACACTGTGCGCGCCCACAAAGATTTCAAACACCAGGAGCAAAGCTGCCAAAACTCCCACTTGCCACGGAGCGGCTCCAAAGCGAGCGCCACCCTGAACATCCCCTGATTCGCGAGACAGACGGGCTTGCGCATTCATTCCACCTTGGTAGGACATGTGCCAAGACTCCGCCTCCGGAGTGAGGGCAATGACTTGGTGAGGTTGGTCGAAGGACTCGGGAGACAGCGGCCATCAGGGAGCACTCTGCTGGAATGGCAAAGCTTCTGTTGGCAACGCGCCACTGAGCTTCAAACCCAGATGTTGATGGAGGAGAACGTTTGAACCGTAGGCGGCTCATCTTGCCATCCAAGAGCCTCACAGGGTACCCATCTTCTGGTGGGACATAGTCGCCCGCTGCATTCTGGGTGAGCTGCACTGCTTTTTCTTCTTCAAGACCAACGTCTTTCCACTCCTGAGCAGCAGCATCTGGCGAAGCAGCCTCTTTGGCTATGCCCAGCAGTTCCGCAGTTTCGTGTGAGAGGGAACCCATCGGTGCCGGGAAACTCCTGGGCAAAGCAAATCGAGCAAACAGAATCTAAAATGCTGTAACACAACACCCATCGCGCAGAACACCTGTCCTGGAGGGCAACAGAAATCTGCCGGCATGTCTTCATGCGGCTGCACAGGGCGGCCAGTGGAGATGACAAACCGTTCTTTGGTGGAAGCTGCGTGGCAACCAACCTCGCCTCTTTCCATATAGGGATGTATTGCGCAGGGTGCATATTGCAAGTGATCCCCATGCTAATGGTTCTAGCAAGCTTCTCTCCATAGCGCCCATTCGTTTTCGTGGCGCGCTGGTTCCAAACTGCAAGAGCTTGTTGAAGGCACTCTGGTACGGGTTCCTTGGCTTTCTCCTTGGATGCAGGCCCATCGGACAAGAGACCCAAGCTGAGCAGGAAGTCGTAGGCCTCATCAAAATTCCCCAGCAAGCCAAACCCGCATCGGCCAGACCAGTCTCCAGGCAACTTGTCAGCATTTCGGACCTGGTTCCAATCGCCCGAGCGTCGATGGAACCACTCCTCAGGTGTTGCGCTGGCAACCATTGCGGAGATTGCGGAGAATAGCTTCGGCTTCAACCTGGCACAAATGGCGGGCTCCTTTTTGGCTAGAATTCAACACCTAAAACTTCCCAGCCCCCTGTTTTAACAGCCCGCTCACACCTGCGCTGCGCTGGCGCAGGAGCGCCTTCTTCCACACAATACGTCGCCAGCTTGGACTCCGCGTTCGTCAAGATGACTGCGTCCAACTCCTGCCCACAAGCCTCTGCGTGTCCTGTCAAGGATGATTTTCTCGTCTGGCCGTAGTTGACATTAATTGCAACCAACGTCAAAGGCGATGGCGAAGTAGCAAAGACAGCCACTTTGGCGCCGTTCACAAGAGCACACATCCAAGATCTTTTCTGCCGGCGGATTGAAGGATCGGCAATTCCTGCGGCGGTTCCGCAAAAGGTCAAGAAACAAGCCTTTGACTGCTAAGTACGGACTGAACAAGAAAGATAAGCGACATCAAATTGCAAGACAATGGAAAAGTACCACGATGCGCTGTTTTCATGGCATCAATGTGTTCAGCGCGGATTCTCTCTGCAATTTCTTTACGTTCCTGTGGATCTTGAGTTTCTTGAAGTGGCATGTATTGCTGTTGCGAAAGGATGTCAGTAAAGTTGAAATCATCAGCTTGAGGAACAGTGGATCGGTCTAACAAGCCCATCCAGGCTTCCATGACTTTCTTACTTGCGACTTCAAAACGAGCGATCCAACTAACAAATTCCCCGTTTCCGCACCAGGTCCTGAAGAGCTGCGTCAGGAGAAAAACATGGTTTGCTCCTTTGACAAAGCAGGGGCGCAATGTCTCCTTGAAGTACGTAATGCTGTTCCTCTCCTTTCGAAGCTGCTCATTGAATCGTTGTCAAGCATTTTCTTGCGCGAAGGACCGAGCTTCTCAGCGGAAAGTGTGGTAATGTTTACCCCGTCATCTATCAAATCTTCAAACTCAAACCACGATGACTGTCCATCAAAGGATGGGAGAATCTTTGGCGCCATTTTGACACCTGGTGCTGGTTTTGTTTCATAAGTCCGGAACGTCGAACCTGAGGACCTTGATTGCTGGGGTCGATACCTCGAACCTTGTGCCAGCAAATGCCTCTTCGGGTTCCGACTCTTCCTGACTGTACTCTCATTCGTTGTCCGTATCTATGTTAAAGATCTGGACCATGGTCTATACTCTTCAGACAAGCGGGCAACTTGGTTGTCTCTCGTCCGCAATGTCGGACAAATCTGCACGAAGCAAATTTGACCGGTACGAAGTAAGAGACACAAGCTCCGCCACAGCTGTGAGGGGTACAGTAAGTTCCCCAAAGTGGCAGTGAATGCAATAACACTGGACCTGATCGAATACACCCAGTACGCCGAACGCGGAGTCGTGAGCGAGTGTCACCGAGCTCACTTTTCTGTGGCGCAGTGCAGTCTATGTGCGGGCTTCAGTCTTGAGCCCTGAGCCAAAAGCAAATGAACTAAGCTGTATAGCTACATGAAGAGAGTAACTACAAACAACAGGCGCTACACACGTGTAGCGTAGACACGCGCAGGGGACCTATAGGACCTACAAAATACAAGGGGAAGGCGCCGATTCACCGAGTACAGGTGCTGTGCCAGAAGGAGCAGGAGCAGCTACCACTGAGAGTGGAACCCAAGAGAATGCAAGGAAAAGAAAGGAAAGGGAAGGAAAGGAAAGGGAAGGCAAGGAAAAGGAAGGAAAGAAGGAAGGAAGGAGAGACGGAATGAACAACTGACTTCTGACTGACTGGCTGGCTGACTGACTGACTGACTGAATGAATCAATTCATAATGCGTCAGTTCAACAACTGGAGCAGTTTCACTAGTTCAGATTCCGCTGCCGGGCCAGTGGGCCGCCGTTTCAAAAACAAGACGCACGCCGTAGACGCCGCGTGAGCAGGAAGGGCTGATTGCAGGATGAGCTGGCTTGCATCATTCTTCTCCAGGTAGTGGCCAGAAGTTCGCGCGCCGTAGTGGGCGATCACTGCCATGCGCATGTAGGGTATCATTTGGGCGCCCCCGAAGATGGGGAGCTGGATCACCTCATTGGAGGGTCGTAGGGGCACGAGCCGCCAGTGGCGTTGAAGCCTTGGTCCAAGCGATGGATTTTGAAGAGGGAGCTGGCGCATACATAGGCTGCGCGCGTGACCAGGTCGTATTGCCAGGAGGCAATGCGTTCACTCAGATCCGAAAACTCCCCTACAAGAAAGCGCCTTTCCCAAGAGTGGTCAACAATCGGTCTTGCTCCACTGCAACACACTCATCAGGAATGCCGCGCAACACTCTTGCTGGTGTTGCGCGCGTGTGGGCAAGCAATCTGATCGTGCCCGATCTCGGCCCAAACTGGCCCGTCTGACGGATTTTCTGGACCTTTGCAATCAAAGGAGTCGAGGGTCCTGCTGGTATGGTTTGCCTCAATCACCCCCACGCAAGCGCGCAACTCCACAAGGCCAAGAGGCTTACCGAACAAAGTGTGGCTAAGGATTTGGGACCGAGGTGAGGGGCTATCAGGCCAATACCAAGAGTTTCTTCTCAACTCAGGGGATCGATGCTTGGGCGGTGAACAGGTCAGCGCGGAAGTGTATGCCAAGATGAACAGGTGGATGGCGAGTCGCTGTCAGAAGCAAGAATCCTCACCAGCGCCCTCAATAAAAAAGGGTTGTGCTTCAGGGGCTCTTCCGCTATCATGGGCAAAGTGCCTGCCAAGAGAGACGTCAGTGATCAACAAGATCACAATCTCCCTGTCCATGGCTCCGGCTTAGGAAAGCCGCGCCAGCCCCGCAGCATCGTGGGTTTTGGCCCTGAGCGAACGAAGGAAAGGAGGAATGAACGAATGAGTGAACGAAATGAAATGAAATGAAAACGAAACGAAACGAAATGAAACTGAACTGAAACTGAAACTGAAACTGGAAGGAACGAATGAATGAATGAATGACAAAGAGCCCACGCGCGGGAGCCATGTAGGTCTTGGTCAAGAGAGGCGCATTGGCCGCTTCTTGCCAAGCGTGCTTGCAAAGCTAGGTGGATATCCGCGGCCCGCTTCCCCTGATATTATATTAAAGAAAAGGAATAGTGGTCCTGCCCAGTGTTGATCAGCATCAAACAAGTATTGCTTGCGCTGTAAGGCGGCAAGCTGCAAGCCTGGCACTGGCACCCCCCACGCTCAGCATGCACTTCAAACTGCCTACTGTAAGCCGCGCGTTTGCGCCACAAACCCGTTGACATCCCACTGAATTTTCGATGACAGCTTCGCGCCTTTGGCAACGCACCTTCATTTTCGATGACAACTTCGCAGCTTGGCGACGTCTGCCATAATTTTACAGGGGCAGCTCACATTGGCAACATGCCTTCATCTTCGACAACAGCTTCACCCGTTTGAAGATATCAACTCTCAGGTTCAACGGCACTTCAAGGTCTGGTGTCAGAATTGTGTGTCACCTCAGCCTCGGATGTTCGACGTGCAAGGGTCGTCGGGGAGCTTGACACGCACACGCATGATCTCCGCAAAAGGTTGCGCGCTCGTATTAATATTTACCTCAGTTTCGGGATTTCAATGGACGCGATTCCCGCAGACGCAGAGAGTTCACTTTCACGGCATCTTGTCCGTCCCACCCGCTGCCTAAGGGAGAAAAGTGTAAGAATAGAGAAAACGTGGGGATGTGAGAGAAGAGAAACATGTGCAGATGTGAGATGTGAAGATGCGAGAGGCGTAACATGTGAAGATGCTAGATTCGCTAAATGAGAAAATGTGAGATGTCAAGATGTGAAATGTGTGTGTGTGGATGCGATTCAACCCCTCAAACGCTCTTGGACAACCTGTAAGAAAAGGCGCTCACACCCACACCCACACACACACAACGCACACACACACACACGCGCACACGCACGCACGCACACACAGACCTTGCGAGCGCTGCAACAGCTCATTGCAAAGCCCCCGCTGTTGCTGCAAAAGATGCTGCCCCTGGCCAGGCAGCATCCAGCTAGATACCAGCGCCTGAGACCTGCCATGCAGCCCACCCGCACGCAAAGCTGCCTACAACATTGTACAACAGTGGTATCACCACGTATCCAATGTCCTGGCATGACCTTCCCCATCCACCCTTGGACTTCCCTCTACTTGCTGTGTACAAATGGGCGCCGGTCCTTTGGCACAAAACGCAAAACTAATTGCATCCTAGGTTTGCCTGCGCTTGTTGCTTTCACAAGCTGGCATTACTCACGAATCAAATTTGAACCGCATCCACGGCACCCTTTGACAAAGCAGGTGTTGTTGAAAGATCCTTGATTGTAATGATGGTTTTGGCACTCGAACGACCGTCGATCGAACACCAGTTGATAAACAATGCCAATGAATCGGACATCTGAGCCAGCATATTCCTGTAATTATATCGCCCAGCAACCGGTCCAATTGGAGACTACCTGTCCACGTTTTGATGGGTTTACGAGGCAAGCGGCGTCTACATCTAGCATCATTTCCAACATCAACGTATCATCTAGGCACTTGCAACTTAGGTGAACTTTCCAGCTGGCTGCATTGAGGTATTCTTGCGCACTTTCAATCACTCACAGGTGCCACAGGCCTCTGACAAAAAACGTTTGTTTTCGAGAATGCGCAACTTCAGTAGTTGTCCACGAGGTAGAAAGCCATCAGCAATTTCTGCATGTGGTCTGGCCTGCGCAGATCAAACTGCATGGGCCCAAGAAAGGGCTGCCAGAAGAACGACCTGTGGCTTTTGCAAACCAAGTGGCATCATCTTTGCTTGTTACCTGTGAGGGAGGGCTATATACACAATGTATATATATATATATAATATCAACATATTCGGGCTCAAAGGGGCTGGACCCAGACTTTCCCCACTCCCAACACACTTGCACACGCCAATGTACGCCAACTTACACCAACTCAGAATAAACTTGTTTGTTACATGGGCAAAGCTGGGCAGAAAAAAACATATGCAAGTTTGTAGTCCCCGGCTGCCTGGCGCAGTTCTTCTGGCAACTGCAACCAAAGCTCCAGCGGCGCCTCACCAGCCAAACGCAACAGGCGCTCCTCCGCATCTCCAGTGCAAGACGCCTGCCGGCTGGCTGTTGCGGCACATATCAAAGAAAGGGTTGAATTTGAAACCGTCGTGCGCTTCAAGCGATGATCAAGCAACGATCGCGCGATTGTCCTATACTTCAGGAGTGTATAGTAGTTTGTGCAGTTCGCCTTGCAAACATTGTGGCGCTAGAGTTCTTGAAGCCTTTGCCCCGCTGGCGGCTTTCTTGCAAGTGACTCACATGTGGATTCGACGCGAGACATGTTTTGATGGTGAACCTTCTCGCACCCAGATTTCCCCAGAGGGATCGGATCCTTTAGCGCCACTTGCATTGAATGTGATTATGCGTTGTTTGTTGGCTTTGTAGTTTGCCTGAGCGACCTTTGCAAGCCACGGTTTACTTGGATGATCATAGATTGTTGGATCCTGATCCACAAGTCCTGGATAGAGTATCAGTATTAGCGCCAAGGTAACCAATACTTTGGATTATGCTTTCGAGTTGCGTTTAACAATTCAGCACATCTTCAACAAATAGCACAAATAAACCTAGAGATAGCTGCAAGCGATCAGGAAGGATGCGTGTGGCCGCCCGACGAGCCATGGTGACAGTGGATGATTCGGACAAGCTCAAGCGTGCTCTTGGGCGAACAAACATATTTCGCAAGAAGCAATATGTCTATTATGGGCGGGTGTCGAAAGAAAGTGAGACGTACGGCATCTGGAAATGACTTGCTCGAATCATTCAGCAACTCTGGATTGCCCATGGCAATAAAGCTCTCAGGTGTTCAATCGTACAGCTAAGAATGACCAACGAACAAGAAGCAACGCAATTCCTTCCTCAACTCTCAAAGCTAGCGCCAGATACGGCACTCGAGGTGCGCGGACCTTTAAAGACCTTACGAAAGAACCAGCTCAGTTAGAGGAAGAGATGAAACGACCTCTCACTTCTCACAAATGAAAAAAGAACTTCTCAGCATCAAAGCGGCAGCGCTCTGAAAAAGTTGACATGAAATCGCAAGTGGCGTCTGAAGCACCAAATACAAAACTTTTGCTGGTTTGAGGCAGCATTGGTAGGGGTGCTGTTGGCTATCATTGGTTCGCCCAGAAGGTTTGTAGCTGGGATCTGGCAAAGGTTGAGCTTATTGCTCATATGGGTTCCAGAGGTGCACAGTGCACACTCCCCCAAAAGTGGTTGATATGACCCCGATCCAAAAGACATCTTGGGGGTTGTGTCATCTGCTCTGAAACATTGTAGTTATCAATTCTATAATTGTATATTGTGTCTGCGACCCCCAAGTAAAATCCAAGGCACCTCAACATTCACATCTAAGGTCACTCAAGCCCATGAGTCTCCACTATATGTTCATGCGACCTCTTCTCAAGAGCTGGCTTTGCCCAAATCCAGCAGTTCCCCTGCGATTGATTGTCAAAAACGTAACGACATTCTTGGACAAAGCTCACTGAGCTCACCATGGAATTCTTGCATTTGCAATGATTTAGGCTCGACTTTAGCAGTTCACTGCAGTCTTCCTGTTTGATGGTTACAGCCAAGCCTCTTACATTTTGAGCCCTTGAAAATTGAAAATGAACCAAGTGGTGCCCCAAGAAAGGATCCGAAACACACCCAGAAGAAGAAGAAGAAAACGGCGAATACAAAAAGAAAGGGGAGAGGAAGGAGGGAAGAAAAAGGAAAAGGAAGGAAAGGAAGGGGAAGGAACTTGGTGGTATCAAGGGTTCTGCTCCAACCTCATACCCAAGGCTCATGTGAGCAAATTCAATTTTTGTCTGCGGCCTTCTTGGCTACGTGCAAATGTTTTGACTCGGCCGTCTCAGTTAATGAGGAACCCACAAAAAATGAGGGAGCCGGCCGGTCAAAAGACATTCAAGATCAGGACAAAACAAGGCCGATCAACATACTGTCACTCCCATGAGGTCACCTATGGACTAATTCGGACATCTAGGAACCAGCAACATGAACCTGGAGACTTGACAAATGCTGCTGGACACAGGTAATGTTGGATTTGATCATGGTCCCTCAGAAAACCTAGTGCTGAATGATGATGACCAACCAGAAGACACACACTATATATACATATTGCAACCACCAGTCAAGGCCATTTTCAGCAGCAAGCCGGTCCAATACCAACCCGGCTGTAAAAGGGGCGACCGCCATTCTTCTCCTGAACCTCACGGAGAAGGGCTAGCTGCAGATCTTGAAGTACAAGATCCACTTCCGGGAGAACCACCAGGACAATGAGAAGACACTATGAGGTGTGCAGTAGATGCCAATCCACGTGGATATGGCAAGATCGACTGCTAAAGCAGCCAGATCTAACTTGCCGTCAATGTGGATACCCTTGGCAGCAAAAGCACCTAAAAGACCTCAAGCAAAACCGGAGACGTACACAATGGGCAGCATGGAACTTCCAGCACCAGGGAGCTCAATGGCCCAAAAAATCCTACCAAGAAGCGCTGTTGGAACCACCACCCGGGCTTTGTGGAGGTACCAAGCCAAAACGAGGCAAAAAGCCTAAACCCACTGCTCTCCAGAAGGCGGTCCAAGAGCATTGGAGTGATCTACCAGCCGCTCTCAAGAGCCAATGTGAAGCCATGGGCCTTCAAGCGGAAAGCCCTCCAGCTCCACCTGATCTTCCCACTTTGATCAAGGAGCACCTTCAGAGCCTACCTACAGATTTGAAAGAAGCAGTTGAGAAGTTGGTCGAACCGACAAAACCGGAACCCACCCTAGCCACAAAGCTGAAGCAATCAGTTGGACAGCTCAAGCAACTGGCAGAAAAGAAGGCGGCTATCCAACAAAAAGCGGACGCAGTGAAGTCTCAATACACTGCCTTGTTGCAAGAGTTGAAAGAGACACAAACGAAGATAGACTCCGCCCAACAAGAGCTCCAGCAGAAGACACAGCAATACAGCCAACAGCTTGAGAAGGAGAAGCAAGAGGTGGCAGAGGAAGATGAAACCTGGACTCTGGCTCCCGAGAAGTTGATGACCATTTTCGCACAAGTCGGTGTACAGGCAACGGCCGATCAGGTCACCAGCTTTGCGCGCCAGATCGAAGAGGCAGCAGCAAAAAGAAGGAAATGTGGGTAACAAGCAGCCTGCTGAGAAGATGGCCTCCAAAGGGGACTCCGCAATTGAATCACTGATGCAACATCTAGGGGACACAGATGCATGCGTGGTGGATGGGCCAAACGCGGTTTTTGGCTCAGAACTTCGCGACCCCGAGAAGGGCTCGGGATCTCAATCTTTTGGGGCATCACCGGATGAAGCTCTGAACTTTAGGGGAGGAGCTAGCTTCATGGATGAAACCGTGGAAGCTACTCCTGCAGCTTTTGAGGATGCTCCGATGGAGGAGCAAGAGGAGATTGAAACTCAGGCACCTTTGGACTACGTAGTTCAAAACCTCCAGTGTCGAACTGGTGCAAGTGTTGGCCACTGGAGAGTCAACCTGTCATAGTGGCAACGAGCCTGACTGGGCACTGCTTTCCAACAATCTTGTGGCTGACCTGCCATCAAGGCCAACTGGGAAGTTCCTTTCAAACCACATGCTCAGCTGGTGTTTCATTGGGCACAGGACCTCGAACCCGTAGCAGTGCAACAGATCCTCAAATTCAACCCTGCGCCCAAGCTAGAGCATCCTGACAAAGAATGGCACCAAATTGAGGAACGAGAGCTTCCTGCGCAATGGCTTGACCTGCCATCAAACCCTACCAGTCAGAGCCTTGGAGCCCTGTCACACAGGATCGAGCGTTATGTTTTGCAGAACTTTGTGGCCAAACCACTACAAGATCCTTCCAAGCCTTGGATCTGGCGCAAGGGCAGCCTAGCATACTGGGGACAGGTCGAGATTCGCTCGCAACAACTGGCCCAACGTACTGGCAAGGACACATCTCTGCAACGCCTCCAGAGGCTGGGCTGGCATTTAGCTGACCACTGGCACTCGGACAGTCCAGTCACCTTGGAAGGCTTCACAATGCTCTTCAACATGCTCTGGAGCAAGCGCGAAGATGACCGCATCCATGTCCTCCTGCAGTACACTGCCAAGATCAGAGCCCTACATCAGCAGATGGCCTTTGACCACGACGCTCAAGCATACAAAGAGTGGCTCAACAAAGCCTCGGGCAAAGGATGCAGAGGACTTTTCAGATCACTGAAAAAGGATGAGATGCCATACCTACGACCATTTCAAGAC